GCTGAGGTTTCTTCGCGGCTTTCTGGGGGTTACCATCTTTCTTGCTCTTCTTGGTCTCAGAGATGGAAAGATCCTTCATCTTGCCATCGGCAGCTGTGGCTTCAGCCATGTTGGGAGGGTGCTAGATAAGGCCGTCAGCGTCTCACAAAGGAAAGGTTGAAGAGTATTGATCGTTGTAAAGACAGTGGAACCGCGATTGTATAGATATTCCAGACAAATCCATTTGTATATAGGGTGAGTTGGTGGGGCAGGCGGGGTATCAAGACGCGACTTAGGAATACTTACGTGCAATTGAGTTATGGAAAGTCAAAAAGACGGTGGGGAACCCGAACAGTATAAGGCGAGAGCACTCTAGAGTCTCGTAAAGCTAAGACAGAGTCGGCTTGTTGCAGTCTCGTGTGAGTCGACAGCCAAATGTGTGGAGGGCCGAGTCATCGGCGCAGGGGTCCAGACTAGCGCGATTGACGGGCGGAGCTACCATTCGCCGACGCCGACGCGGGCGGGCATTGCTGGAGATTTTCTGGACCGCGTAGAGGCAGCAACAACGAAGCAGAACAGCTATCACCCGACACAATGGCAGGAATCTTCGAGCAGTCACGTAGCGGAGGAACTCTGTGTAAGCCGCCGAAGCTAACAAGACGGCCGCAAAAAGCTAACACGTGCAGTCCTCGGCGGCCAGAAAATCAGCGGCCAGGACATTCGCGACCAAAACGTCCTTGCGACCCAAGCGATCTCGAATGTCGTCAAGTCGTCCTTTGGGCCCTCGGGCCTCGACAAGATGATGGTCGACGACATCGGTGACGTTACCGTGACCAACGACGGCGCTACCATCCTCAGTCTGCTGGATATCGAGCACCCCGCAGGCAAAATCCTCGTCGACCTGGCCCAACAACAAGACAAGGAAGTCGGAGATGGCACAACCTCCGTCGTCATAATAGCGGCCGAGCTGCTGCGGAGAGCGAACGAGCTCATGAAGAACAAGATCCACCCCACCACGATCATCACAGGCTACAGGCTGGCGCTGAGGGAGGCAGTCAAGTACATGAACGAGAACATCAGCACCAAGGTCGATGCGCTCGGTCGGGACTCGCTAGTCAACATCGCGAAGACGTCCATGTCCAGCAAGATCATCGGCTCCGACTCCGACTTCTTCGCCAACATGGTGGTAGACGGCATGACTGCTGTCAAGATGACAAACAACAAGGGCGAGGTCAAATACCCTGTAAAGGCTGTCAACATCCTTAAGGCACACGGTCAAAGCGCGACTCAGTCGATACTGGTCAAGGGCTACGCTCTCAACTGCACGGTCGCCTCGCAAGCCATGAAGACGCGCATCACCGACGCCAAGATTGCCTGCTTGGACATCAACTTGCAGAAGGAGCGCATGAAGTTGGGTGTTCACATCACCATCGACGACCCGGAGCAGCTAGAGAAGATTCGGGAGCGCGAGGCTGGCATTGTCACTGAGCGCATTGAGATGATCCTGAAGGCCGGCGCCAACGTCATCATGACTACAAAGGGCATCGACGACCTCTGCCTCAAGCACTTCGTCGAGAAGGGTGCCATGGCTGTGCGAAGGTGTAAGAAGGAGGATCTGCGAAGGATAGCGAAGGCGACCGGAGCAACCCTGGTCAGCACACTTTCTGATCTGAACGGTGACGAGAAGTTCGAGGCAGCAAACCTTGGCCATGCTGAGGAGGTTTCGCAAGAGCGCATTTCTGACGACGAGTGCATTCTGGTCAAGGGCACCAAGGCTTTCTCATCCGCATCCATCATTCTGCGAGGTGCGAACGACTACGCCCTGGACGAGATGGAGCGATCAGTACACGACTCATTATCAGCCGTGAAGCGAACCCTCGAGAGCGGCCGCATCGTCCCTGGTGGAGGTGCCGTTGAGACTGCGTTGCACATCTACTTGGAAGAGTGGGCAACGTCAGTGGTAAGTCACTCCAATCATTGCATGTCTACAACGTGACTAACGATAAATCTAGGGCTCTCGGGAACAGTTGGCCATTGCTGCTTTTGCGCAGTCTCTGCTTGCTATTCCTAAGACACTTGCCATCAACGCGGCCAAGGATGCTACCGAGCTCGTCGCCAACCTCCGATCACGGCACGCTCTTTCACAGCGTACAGTGAACCCTTCAGACCCTTCGTCGCAAGACGCAAAGCAACTGGCCAAGTCAAAGAACTACAAGAACTACGGTCTGGACCTGTCAAATGGTAAAGTGCACGACTGCCTAAAGGCCGGTGTACTGGAACCCAGCATGAGCAAAGTCAAGCAACTGAAGTCAGCAGTGGAGGCGTGTGTTGCGATTATGCGTATCGATACCCTGATCAAGCTGGATCCAGAGGAGCAAGGTGGAGGTGGTGACGATGGCCATGGACATTAGATGTCCTGGCGTCAAGAGGAGATAGACCCGTCTGAAAAGATAACGACAGCGTAATGAAGGCTCCAAGCCCACGTGCAAGATACTCCTCTATTATCCCCACTCTGTTCCAAGCCACCCTAAGGACCCCCAACCGAAATCTGCTTGCCGCGGCACTGACTCATTAAAGCTTTTGGGGGCCAAATGTGACCATCGTGTAGGGCTTTCGGACCGACTAGCACCTGTTCTCAAAGCTATGTAGGCAACCAAAGCTTGCAGGCCTCGATTTGCACCAAACACCAAAAGACTCCCAACGATACGATCGTGCACAAGCTCATCACTTGCAGCTTTCATTTGGGACATGAGAAGACTTGTTAATTATTGCGCCTCAAACCCTACCTCGGCAGTTCACGGCCACGATGGGGATCTACATGCGACTCTGCCGCGTCGCACAACACATGGCTTTCCGGTGAGATTATCTGGCGACCAAGACATCCGTTGTGCCTGGTGTTCATATTAAAGAGGTAAAGCGCACGGTGATGATGGCTGCAAGCGGCTTGTTTACAGCCTATCGCGGCGCTACACAAGCGAGGCGGATTGTTTCTTTCTTCTTCAGCTCGCTACCCCATGCTAGTTACACATCCGTTGTCCCTGCAGCGGTCACCATTGCGTCTAGCGTCAAGACGAACACCTTGTGGAAATACTGAACAGCTGTGCTTGAAATGATGTAGTAACGGAGAGAATGAGCAGGAAAAGCATAGGTATAGTGCAAGAATTGCAGTAGTCCTGCCTGTACAACAAGCACGTCCAACCGAACGCTTTCATGGAACCCAAATGCACAAAATCTCAGCTGATCAGCCTTCAATACGCTCTCCTCGTATGTGTGGCCGCAGCCGGCAAGCCCCAGCGGGTCGCTGCACGCCTTACGGCGCAATATCTTTCTCATTGTACGTAGCTCAACATACCTAGGTATGAGTACTTAGCTTATAGGGCCCTGCTCTTTCCTTAAGGGTGCCTTCTGTTCCTCGTTTTGTAATTTCTCGGGTCTGAAACGTCATGGCATATACCAGGCTTTCTTCGTTGCTGGTCGTTCTCTTTTCCGCAAAGTATGGGAGCACTGCTATGATACGGGCACCAACGCCCGCTGTCACGCCCGCCCCTGCTGCAACAGCTGTAGCACTTGCAGCTAGGGATGTTACTACCCTTGGATATATTTCCACGGGCATGTATGGCTCGAGTACACTTTGTAAGATTGATTGCCTACATTGCTTCTCGACTGTTGCTAAGAAGTCTTAGATGACACCATCACTGCAAATAACGAGGGTCATGTCATCGCAACATCAGGTAGCCTTTACAAGATCTGTGCGCCAGAATCTCTTTGCGAGTTCTTTTCTTGTGAGAGCGATTACGTTGTGTACCCGACTACATCAGTCTTCTGGTACGTTCTGGCTCCTGGTCGCCTGGATGTTGTATACTAACATGGCATCGCAGTGGAGGCTCAAATTTAACTTGCAGCTACTGGGAGCTGGCAACAGATATCAATGACCCTTCACCATTGACCAACTACTGGTGCGATGCTAAGACGGAAACGGGAGGAAGGATTTTAGTGACCACCCCAGACCAAGGTGCAATCTCTCTCTAACCTTGATGAAGCATTGACTGACAACACACTTCCAAGATTCATCAACCTCCCCTAACACTGGCTCATCCTCGAATACCCCAATCTCTCTGTCCTTCACTCCACTCTCACGTACCGCTTCTGGTCGTCCCTCAGACGCACCACTTGACCTTACACCTTCCTCCGGTAACGAAGATTCCAACGATTCCAACAACTCCGACGAATCCAACAATTCCAACAAATCCAAGAAGTCAACCCCAGTAGGCGCGATCGCCGGTGGAGTAATCGGCGGTGTCGCTCTCCTAGCCGCTGTAGTCCTCGGAGTCTTCTTCCTTCTTCGCCGCAAGAAGAAGCAACAGAACAACACCGCCGTCAACAACAACATGCAACAGCCACCCATCGCACCCCAAGCCCCACCAGCCGGTGTCCAATACTACCACGAGCAGAAGCCCGTCCCTCAGCAACACATGCAACAAATGCCGTCTCCACCTCCTCAACACCAACAACACTATGCGCATTACGATCCGAACGCACAACAACCAGCGCAACCATTCTATGATCCCAATGCCCAGTCTGCGTATGCTGCGCAGCAGGGTGGCTATACGATGCCGGAGAAAATACCAGGTGCTGTGAATCCTGTGCAGGCGAACCCGCACTATTCGGACGGGCCAGTGAGCCCTGTGCCGCAGTACTCCCCAGCTATGTCACCGCCAGTTCCAGCCACCATTAATGAGTTGCCAAGTGGGAGGATGTGAGTACAGTAGTATTGCGTTCGGTCGTGGATGATAGGACCATCGTCCTGGACAGCAGTTCATGTCTTTGTGCTGTCTTGCACAGTCTGGTACTGCGTGCCGTACAGTGGATGGAGAGATGGATGTGCATTTGAAGTGCAGTACAACTCTAGGTACAACTCTAGTGTTGATGAATTATACCCCCCTGTTATATGACCCACCAAGTTTAAGACGTTCTACGAGATGTCCGTTATTTTGCAGGTTCTGCGTTCGTCAGAACCTTCATCAAGGCTTCCCGCAATATCCTTTATGATATCCCCAAGCTAACTTTTGATGGTCCTTGCCGCAATAGTACGCCTCGCCGCATCCAGCACACTTGGATTTGGCACCTGGTGCTCCACAGTGACCACACCATTTCTCCGTCGCTCTATTCATCCACCTCTTTTTCGTCCTCATCGCCACTTCCCATAGCCAATCGTCTACAGGTGTACCACTGATCGCTAGAGTGCGGTCGCTCTTGCTAGGATCTGTACCCTTAGCCAACATGCTGAAACGCAGGGCAAACTCCTCGGGGGTATCCAGAGCGAACAGCTGCTTTCCCTTCGGCCCGGGTCCACGTCCTATGTCGCCGAACTGCATAGACGAGAGATCGAAGAAGGATTGAACCGTGTCACTATCGAGCGGAGAGAAACCTACGACCGCATGTAGAAGTTGTGGCTGGTGCCCACTAACAAACATTGCGCCCTGGGGGAGTACGCAGATAGCAGTGGTGAACTTTGGGTCACGGAAGGACTCCTCGACAATGACACGCCTACTGACTGTTGTCATATAAGACATGCCTGGCTGCTTACCACTAGGCGCATGTCTCACCCTCAACTTTGTGTCCTCGGAGAACAGTGCAAAGAAGATCTGAAGCAGACTAATCGCCTGGTAACAGCCATCGTGATTGCGTGCCTGATGGAATAACGTCTCTAGCTGCTCATTGGAGAGTGCGCTATCCTGGCGTTTGTTCGCGGGTAGGAATTCGGTGGGCAGGTCTGGAGCATCTGGATCGTTGGGCTGCTGCTGATCCAATACGATCCATGTGGACGCGTTGTTGTTCCAGCCTTGGTCGATTGGACTGCTGAGTGCGACCGTCTTCGGTTGCGTACCCGGGAAAGCGACTTCCCTCAATTTGGTGTGTCGAAGCCGAGGTTCCGTAGTGTTCCGCTCGTAGTTGAGTAAGACTGCGATGTCATATAGATCCAGCACTTCCTCGGGGTCCATCATGGTTGCCGGGCGGGCGTTCTGCACTATCCTGCTTGCGTGGAATTGAGATGGCGGGGCGCATCATCCCGCTGAAAGCGTGACGCGCTAAGCAGGAATCTTCCTGTTTTCGGCGTAGCGCTGAACGCGTGCTTCCAAGGTTGCGTGATGTCACTCGTCGCGTCTCTGGAAGTCGCGAACTGGAGACGGTATAGCAATTTTCACATCCGGAAAGCTAGGTATCAAGCGCGACATGCGATTGCGACTATCTGGTATCTCCCGCACGACCGTGATAGAGTCGCAGTCACTACATTGAGACTTTACAAGGTCACGACACAGAAGTACGGGAACGGAGCAACAGCCCTGGAGATTTGAAATGTGTTGAGATTCCTCGGATAGACTCTATTCAGTCTGATCGTTCCTCTACATTCTCTGACTGCAATCGTCATGCTCTGTCTAGACTAACCTCAACGCGCATCGTAATCTAGGCAGTTCTTACCAACCAACCATGGTAGCCATCTTCCTTCAGACAAGGAAAAACCGAGCAGGTTTGCAGACTACACTGCAATGAAAACAAACAAATCGGGAGATCTGACATCAATGTAGACTCTAGAGTGTTTCCTTGTTTCCTTGTACAAGGTGAAATCACGAAAGAGCTGGAGAGAGGAAGAAGAGACTTTGAAGGTGATCAGTAACTTTGGAAGCCATGAACGTAAGAGCTACTCTAATCGTATGCGTAGTTCTCGAGGCCCCCTCGCGAGCCCACTGTAAAATTCATGTCTTCTTCCCACCCATCTCAACTCGCTTCACCAACTTACAGCCTCGCACGCAAACTTTTCAGCTATGAATAGCTTTTCCCCGCAATCTGTAGTCTGAAGAATGGTTAGCATATCCCAGGGTGGGCTGTGATCAGACTTGTCAACTTACAGTAGCACAGGGCAGAAGTCATTGCCTACTCAACGCGGAGCTTCTTCTCTACCGAATGCTCGTCGGTGTCGACGCTGAGCGCTCGCTTCTTGGAATTCTCAGAGAGCACGTTCTCCGAGTGCTCAGGAAGAACCTCAGCTGAATGCTCTTCTTTGGGGTAGTCGTCACCGTGGTCCTTGACTGCATTCGCGTTCAGGACCTCGGCAGTATCTGCACGCGCGACTTCGGGAATGGTACCTTCTCCAGCGCGATCATCATCTCTGGCCATCATATACTTTAGCTCTTTGACAAGAATCTGGAATCCGTTGCCAAAGCCGAAATCGACGAACTCCTCTTTCTTGCCGCAGTAAACGAAAACGAAACCCACCACAGCTTTGAGCGGCTCACTGAATGGGTCTAACATCTTTCTCTTGGACATCTTGCTGAAGAAGGAGTTGCCGATAAAGCCTTCCTGTCCTACGTTCTTACTAAAGAGGCCACTGGAGTTTACGTTGCTTCTGAAGTACAAGTGTGGCTTCGCTGTGCCGCCACAGATGACCCAAAGTTCGCGCTCCCCGCGACACCTGAGTCCGTGAGTAGTTCCGACGCTGAGTTCGTGTTTGCCTTTAGAGTTGCGGCGGAAGCTGAATGTATCCGGTGAGGGAAGCTTGGCGATGGCATCAGGGCACTGCTCTTGAAGCATGTCGAGCAACCGCTCTTTGGTGTAACGTGGGCAACTAGGCATCTTGTCCTAGTAGCTGCGGTTGCTGTCAGTATATTTTCTAACAAAGGGAAGAACAGACACGGCTTACTGGTGTGGTTGACTGTACGCTTCAGCAAGCGGGGGTGTTGTTGACGAAAGAAGGAAGGATATATGGTACTGAGAGAGAACATATGAGGCAGCTTTATATGAAGTCCAGTCACAAAACCTCATTCTCGAGGCCCCGGAGTTACCTAGCGTCGTTATCACCTTGAGGTGAAGGGTAACTGTGCGTCATCCATTGGGTAAGTTGGGTGACCTGCCCACTTTTGACCGCCACATACCACAACATAGGAAAGTGAGGCATATACAAGGCCTCTAAGAGAACTCATGGCTTCCTAGTAGAAAAGACCAAACATCAGGAATGATGTGTAGGCATCATGGTTTCCATTCACGTATCGTGCAACAGGAGTATATGTTCTTTGTTCGCGTCCAACCACTATTGGCGATGTGTTGTGCTCATATAACCTTGCGACTTATATCACAGTCCATGCTCCATCTCCCTGATCAGCAGTCTCAACGATCGAGAATAACATCGTGAGCAGAAGCAGAATTCTTGTACCCATGAAATGGAACCAACAATCAAATGGTATATCTCCCAAAGCTAAAGTACATGATCGACCATACAACAAGCAAACTAAAGTCGCGCCATGTTCCCTCTCTTCCGCATGCTCTTCGCCTTCCCTTCAACAGCACCCACCTCATCGCCATCCAACTCCTTTCTATCAAACACTGCATCCTCCCAAAGCTTCTCACTAACCAGGTCCGCCAGCGCCAAAACCCTTGTCTGAACTGTCGCTCCATCGCGCCGATTCTTGCCTTCTCTTCGCGAGGCACTAATGCGCTCAGCGAAGCGCCATAATGGGCCATCGGCAATGATGCCGCCGTTCGACCCTCTTTGCGGAGTCCACTCCTCTGCTAGTCTAATAGTGGCGGGCGTTTTGTCTTTCGACTTGGTAACAAGAATCATGCCTTCTTCCTGGAAGCGCGTGTACGCATTCTTCAGTGTTTCCTTGTTGACAGCTTCGAAGTAGGAAAGGTCGCCTTGGTGGTACAGAGTCTTGCCGAGAACTTGTGCGCGATCTTGAACTTTCTTTAGGTCGAGCCATGAGGACGGCGATGTAGTAGCGGGTGACGAGAGGGGAGGAGTGAGCATCATCAGACTGATAGCGCCAAGCCAGGCGGCTTCGATAAACGGCCAGATGAGGAAACAGTAGAAGTCATAGTTTTCGCGTCCTTGAGTCCGTTCAGCAGGTGATAATTCGATGAAGTCCACCGTTTCTTCGCCCAGCTCTGTTTTTGACCGTGACATGGTGATGACACCGTCTTTTTCCAGTCCCTCGAGTGTTTTGGCGAGGTTGGTATCTAGACCTTCCGTGGGGAAGATGAACTCCCCGCGGAAGAGTTGCGAGAGGAAGTGCACCTGTGCGCGTAGATCGCCATAAGACATGCGTTGATATTCCGGGCCACCACCCTGCTTTACATGCGTGTATAGTGCTGCGCTGACCAGACTTTGTAGGATGAAGAGATGAATGGTCATGTTTCTGTAGAAGGAGAGTTGGAACCTATCCACGGCGTAGAATGTGTCTTCTGGTAATCCGGGGACTAGGCCGACAAGCCCAGGTCCCAGAACTTCCAAAGCGCGGTCGACAACAACGCTAGTGGGGAGGTTGCCAAAATGTGCTACACGACCACCTTGGGCTCTAACACGGTCGCTGAGCCATTCGACTCGGCGGATGAGTTCTGATTTGCCGACACCACGACCTCTTAATGTTAGTAAGACGGTACCAACGAGAGCGGTGGGCATCACGACTGAGACGTCGTTGATCTCTGACAAAACTTTGTAGCCCAGTGTGCGGAGGAGGCGGAGTCGGTCTTCTTTGGTATCGAGTTGCTGGGGAAGTTTGGAGAAGCGTTCGCGTTGTTGATTTATAAAAGATTTGAGTGACCATGGCTCGTGGAAGCGGACGTCTACACGACCGAGCTTAAGGGAAAGTACACTAGACGCGGACAGGAAGTCCATGAGATTTTCCTTGGGTTTTGGTTGACCGAGGAGTTCGCTGATGTATGAGCTGCGATTTGTTAGCGTTAGCTTCGGTGTCACGCCTGATTGAAAGACTTACTCGACCTCAATGACCTTATCGTACTGCGTCGATACCGGGCAAATGATTGCGTCCTCAACCCTGCCGCTCGCGATACTGTCGAGCATGTAGCTCAGTATGCCGAACTTGGGCGGCAGAAGCTTGCCGGTACGACTCCTCCCTCCTTCTACGAAGCACTCCAAATTGTATCCACATTGCAACAGGGTATCGATGTAGGATTGTACCAGTGTAATGTACAGCTGATCGTCCCCGAAGCTCCTTCGTATCCACATAGCGCCGGCATGTTGTAGGAAAGACCCGACGACTGGGAAGTTGAGGTTATCTCCAGCCACGACTGTGGGCAAAGCGAGTCCCAGCCGATAGCAGATGATTTGTAGCGAGACGTAGTCTACGTGCGAGCGGTGACATGGAAGGAAGATGATGGAGTGCTTGTCTTTCGCTGCCTTCTCGGCGACAGCGCGCAGGCGTAGCACTTCCTCGCTCGAGACGTGGACGCCCTGGTGGTATGCTCTTGTCAAGAGTTGTGTAGCAAAGTAGTATGCGCCTCTTATGAAGCCTTTGCTTTCCATCTTGCAGATCATGGAGTCCGTCCAGCCTTCGCTGACCTGCATAAGCGATTCCTCAATCTGCACCCTCCTCTTTGCCTTTTTATCTTTCTCGCCGACACCAACCCCATGCATCGCATCCTCGCCCAAAAGCCCTTCTTTCGCCTCAACCTCTACCCTCTTGTTCGCCAACTCGCGCACTTTGGCGACGAGCATTGGGTTGCTCAGCACCCTCGCCTTCATATCCTCGCTAAAGCCTGGGTAGAACTCTGGCTGCCCAATGTGATCGTCAAAAGACCTCCATCCTGTCCCTGAGAAATGTAGCGAGACTTCGCGAATGAAATCGAGCGGCGAGGATCGAAAGCGCGCGAAGCTGTGTATGAGGCCGCGGTCGGGCGATTCGTTGTAGCCAGCTGCGTGCAGGTAGACATTGTCGTCGGCTGTGATGCTGAGATCGGGAGCTTGTTCGGGGCTGGAGGGGCGCGCGGTGGAGGACTTCCGGTCCTCGTCTGAGGAGGCCATGCTGATTGGAATGCGGATGTGGGATATGCAAGGAGCGTCTCCTTAGGGAAAGGGTGCGGCGGAAAGCGCGTATCGCATGGGAAGGACGCGTCTAGGAATCGATCTCGGGAGATGGAGTTTTTCTGGTGTTTTAATTTCGTGTAGTCCACGTTGGCACTGTTGCTACGACATGGTGAAGCAGGCATGAAGCGTCGCGACGATGGACGGTGACATCGCAGGCCCACTTCCCCGGTCGCTATGCCTCGGCTTCTTGTGGGGAAGCCACGCCGGCGCACCATCACCTCCGATTCGCTATCCATCAGCACCACCGACCTTGACCATTGCTTGGTAGATTGCTATCGACATGCAATTTTATACTACAATACACTTATTTATATACATGCGTCATCATGGGATAGCCGGCGTACTCCAAATCCCACGACAAGGCCAAACAGCACATCAGAACACTTCCCACAAACTGACTTTCCCGTCTTTAGCTCCTGCAGCGACCCAGTGTTTAAGCTTCGACTGCTTCTCACGGTCTCTTTGCCGCTTGTTGACAGCCCCATCTCCGCACCCTATCTCATCTTGTGTAAGAATCTCACCGAATGCAGTGGAGTAGACACCTTCCTTGTGCCACTTTAGCACGGCAACTTCCTTGAGCGTCTTGGTGCTGTATATGCGGATCCGTGAGTCCCAACCACCGGTAATCAGAAGCCTGCCATCCGAGCGGACACGGAGCGACTGTTGACCTGCGTGTTTGGTGTCTGTTGTTTTGTACGGGGCTTGTAAGCTGACCGCTTTCTGGACTGGGGGAGCAGGCTTAAACTTCGGTAGCGGTGCGGCCGACGAAAGCAGTGAAGATAGACCGCTGGGTGTCGCTTTCTTGGAGCTCGCCTGATCAACAGGGTGCTTTGTGAAAGGATCCGAAGACGGTACAGATAGCTCATTGTCTTCTTTACCTGGAATAGATGGCAACTCCGGTATCTGATGCTTGGCTATTATAGCATCTGCCGAGGATGTGTAATAAAAGTCGCCCTCTGGCGAAGCGTCCAACGACAGAATTGGCTGAGAATGGGGTTGACTAAGGTAAACAAGCTGGGCGGTCCCTACGCTCGTGTCGGGGTGCTCTTTAGCCAGCTTGAATGCTGCAGTGACTCCGCCTTCATACCCTGCGAGCAGGAGAAGTCTTTGCGTGGCTCTATTGCGAACAAATTTCACGGCCATAACCATGCCTGTTTCGACGGTCCGTATCTGTGGGATCCTGACCTTGAGTAGCTCACCAGGGAAGCTATACACGTCGATCACCTTGTCGTCCGTTGACGGAACTGCCACAAAGATGGAGTTATCCTCTGCGATAGAGGCTGGAGGATGCTGATAGCCCATGGAGAAAGAGCAGAAGTTGAGAGTGTTGACGGGAAGCGAGTGAAGAAGCCACGGTTTGGGCGTATGTTCTCGGTTCCCATCTTCAGGTAATGTTGATGAAAGTTTCTCTGTCTCGTCTTCGAGTGCAAGTCGCCAGACTCTTATTCTGTTGTCTCGTCCATGTCTGTGTTGGCGGTCTGATGTTAGTAGAGCTCGACAGGCAGACGTGGGCTAGTCTTAGGGTGATTGATGGTTTGCTACAGTGACACGCACGTTATGATCTTTGCATCTCCCCATTGGGCGAAACCTAGGATGGGGCCATCGTGAGCTGGCCAGACAGCAGTTGGTCGCTTCGTCTGAACATTCCAGAGGACGACCCAGCCATCTGCGTCGCCCGTCAACAAACGACTGTTCTGGCGAACAAACAAAGTTGCGTGGATGTGCGAGGCATGGCCGCGGAGAATGGCAGTGGGCTGTGCCGGTGGGAGCGTGGCGGTTTGGCGCTCCAGGGCCATGGGCAAGCTGAGGTGTTAGTTTCGGGCAGGCCGGCACGAGAGACGATCGTCGAGAAGCGATGGTGGGGCCAGTGATGAGCGGTTGATTGTCGGGTATACAACGCGAACGACAGGTACATGCGCGCTTGAAACGGCTGCCTGCTGGGCGTTCCTTTCTCAGACGATGCTCGGTACTAGCGAGCTGAGGTTTATTCTAATGCTGCAGCAGAAGTACAAAACAGCCATGTTGAGTGGTATGGAGAAAGGAGGATTCGTTTCTCTCAGCTTAGGAGTGCGTGTGGAGGCGCCGGCAGGTGTTCCAGGGTGGCAGGTGCTATGACAGTGCAAAGATTGCCGAGAGTGACAGGGGTCTATTCTGGTCTTGAGCTTGTTCGCAAAACTCTACAAGATTAGACGAGTGAAGGTGCAGCCAGTCAGCATGCCATGGAGCGTCGAAGCTGCTCGGGCGCAATGCACCTGCACAAGCCGGTTGGACATCATCTGGATACCTACAGGATGTGTCTGTCTCTTCAGCAGCGCTGGGGTGGTGCCAAGATGCTGCCTGCGCCACAATGGGTAGCTCTTCGCACGAACTGCCACGAGAAAGCTAGTGCGCTGGGCAATAGGGCTCGCTACAGCAATGATGCACAGCAATCGAGGGTCCGCGGGACGGGAAGAAGAGTTTCCATGCTACGTCGCCGAATGTCACGACGCATCCAAGCCGGCGCGCGCATCATTACCGGGAGGGCGCGCACATCATGGCGTCGCACCCCGGACTGGCGCACACCAAGGCCCAGACGTCTCCCCGAAGGCGCATGCTGTCCAGCTCTGCCGTCTTTTATCGCGGGATCGTCGTGATACTCGTCCGCATGTCCAGACGCTGACGACCGAAAACCCGGACAGCGTCTTGTTTCAGAGTGCAGCTGTCAACGTTACAGGCGCCTCGGTCCCCAGCCCTCGCGTGCACCTGCCCTTGCGACGCTCCCTGCCAGGACGTCCACCATCTCCTATCGTTCGTCATCGCCTGCATGTACGCCAGCCCGCTCAGGTATAATCCAATATTCCGCCTTTGCTCACGACTCGCTGCTGCTACTTGTTTGCTTCTGTCCCGCCAAAAGCACCCTCGACTCCCATGACTTTCCTCGCCCACCCCTCCACCTAGACCAGCGCGTTCCTGCATATCATCCGCGACCGAACGCCTGCACACGCCCTCTCGACGGCCAATTCACCAAGACCTCCTATCCCTGCGCCCTCTCGACACTTTTTGCATTCGCACCACGACGACGGATCTACGCCTTTGTGTTTCTTTCCACTATTGTTCAATCACTGCCATTGCAGCCGCCCTACTACGAATCTTGCGAATCTTACGTTGCTGCGTCGCGTCCCGTCGCAACCGAGCTGTCAGATCACGGCGGTCCTCGACCCACCCCACATCTTCACCCGCGACTACTCGACGATTGACCACCAAATCGAAGTGGAGGGATCGACAGACTTGGCCCACTGCGCGCCCTGTTACGGGGTCGTGATCGCCCTGCCACGGCGAGCGACGGCGCAACGCCTGTCCCCGAGCGAGCGTCAGCATGGCCAACACCGCGACACCACCCTCCAACAATGACTCGCCCACGAGCAAGCCATTGCCCTCGAGAAAGAGAGCCAGCGATGCCACGCCCGACGACAAGCCTAAGAGGACTCGTACCGGTTGCCTGACATGCAGAGAGCGCCATCTCAAGTGCGATGAGACCAAACCGACCTGCAACAACTGCCTCAAGTCCCAGCGCGAGTGCAATTGGGGCAAGAAGCTCAACTTCCTCGATACCACCTGCGAGAGAAATGCATACCTGATTCCCCAAGGCATCGATTATCAGATCGCTTTCATGGACGAGTCACGGACTATTGCTTCGGAATATGTGGGCGGGCGAGAAATGTATCCAGTAGAGGACATGGACGCACATGTCCACATGGGCAACAACGGCTTCGGTATGGGACCGCCAGCTTCGTCGCGCCAGCACATTCCTCCCATCCAGGGCATCGCACAGGAGTCGTACCAGCAAGCGCAACTCACCTACAACTTCGACCAACAGCGGACCCAGCACCAACACGGGCGTTCAAGTAAGTCAACAGTCCATTCCAGCTCTCCGTGCTGACTCTATAGTATCGAGTTTCTCGAACGGTCCAACACCGTCCCCGTACACGATGGAGCATTCGGCCAGTCCCGGACCCCTCCCCACGCGCGACTACCTGAAGAGCCAAGAGGAGGTATTATACATGCAGGTTTTCGTCGAGGAAATCGGCATTTGGATGGACAGCATGGACGCACACAAGCACTTCTCGCGTCTACTACCCTTCCATGCGCTCAACGAACCTATGCTCTTACACGCATTCCTCGCATGCGGTGCACGACATCTCGCCCTTGTTAATCCCAAGTACAGCGAGGAGAAAGCACTCCACTATTACGACGTAGCCACACGAGACCTACTGCACTCTCTGCAGGACCCCGACCGCGATACCATTCTATGTGCCACCACGGCGGTAATCCTCAACGTTTACGAAATCATGGGAGAGCGTGCGCTACAACGGATGAACCATATTGCGGGAGCTCGTGCTCTGATCAAAGAGTGCCGCTGGAACGCTAGGTCCACTGGCATCGGAGCCGCCTGTTTCTGGCTGAACGTCGGCATGGAGATATTGAGTTGTCTGCACTTCAACTGGCAGGTCGCTTGGGACCCCGACGAGTGGGGCATCGAGATGGACTTTACACCGGAGACTGAGTCAGGCAAGGAAGAAGTCTGGACCCATCGTATTCTCTATGTCGTTGCAAGGATATGCAACTTCCGTGCATCGATACCGCGCAACCAGGAAGTCGCCAGGCAGACCTTGCAGGAACGGCACAACGAGTGGCTTCGGCTGAAAGACATGACTGACAGGTGGAACGAGAACATACCACGCACCATGCACCCAATGGCGTATCTGTACCCCGGACAAACAATATCCGGTTCAGCGTTCCCCGAAGTCTGGCTAATCAAGAGAGCATCGATAATAGCGCGGCTCTTCTACCATACATCCCTTGTCTTGCTCGCGCAGATCAACCCGCTACAGGGCCCTAGCGAACCCGACATGTGGGCCATGCTCGAGCAAAACTCCAAGTTCATCTGCGGTATCAGTGCACACGTCAAAGACCGCGGGGTTGCCAGCGTAGCGCTACGTTCCCTCGCCATCGCAGCTGAACCGCTCACAGACCGACGCGAGCAGGAAGAGGTCCTCCAGATATTTGATAAGATCAGGCAAGAGACGGGTTGGCGTGTAGGCTTCGTCAATACAGAGCTGAAGCAGAAGTGGGGCTGGGATACGCCGCAAACCCAAGACCAGAAGCCACAGCAACAACCTCCGCCTCCGCCACCACCACAACAGCAGCAGCAGTTGAATGGCCACATACAGGAAGGCAGTGTTGTGTACCAGCAACAGCCTCAGGTCGTCGTTCAGCAGCAGATGCCGCAAGTCTCGGTTGCACCTGCCCCAGTACAGCGGCGGCCGACGGGCTTTGGTAACCCTCTGCTTGTAGCAGACTTCAGCATGCCACAACATCCTTACCAGACGCACTACGTGCCTGCAAACATTGTTCAGCAGCAGCAACCGCACACATTGCTTCAGCCGCCACTTACCGCAATGAACGGGTACGGCGGACAGCATTTCTTCTAAGCATCCTCAGCACGGCCTTCTTCCTTCCAGGATTGTATTACTCGGCACCTTGTTCTACCACATTTCTATACACAAAGGGCAGGCGTTTGGATTTTCCGTATCTCACACGGCATGGGATACTTCTCTAACGATGTCATGAGTAGCATATATGCGATCACTAATAGCAAGACCACAAGGGTGGTATTTGGAGGCCAAGCGGTATAAATGGGACTTTTGTAAATATATACCCTCTGTTTGAGCAAAATTTGGTGCAAACTCGCCGTCAGTATCTGGCCTTGTTTGCGTGTACAATCTATCAGCCATTGAATACTCAATTTCTCTATCCCGCTAGTAGGTGGCGAGGAGACAGCTTGAACCCCAGGTTCACTCCCTTTCGCAACTGCCGTATGCATGCACATCTCACTCGCATATCGCTCGGATCATGATCACTAGTACGAAACCCAATCTTCGCTTCGGCAAAGTTCCGTTTGGTGTGATGAAGTACTTCATCTGCTAGTCATTGCTAGGCCGCCCGTACCACCTGTCACTCAGCCCTAACACTAGCTGTCTACGCCACACCTGCTAGTAAGATCAATTTCGTCTTTTCTCTCTACATTCGGTAAAAGGGCACTCATATATCAACACAGCGTTCTATCTAGTCGATGCGAGGAGATATGGGTGGGTTGCGGCCATACAGTCAATTGTGCACATCGCATTACCCCTTTTCGAGGATACTGCATCACACCCAGTTTGGTGCAGCCGACATTGCAAGTCGAGCCGCCCGATGATCTCCCTGGATTCCTGGAATCCTTCGTGCGTAAATCCCGTCATCTATCGCGCGAGCAAAGACCATGAGTAGTTCGTCGATCAGGTTCGCGATGACCGACACCATATCTCCACATACCAAACACGAACATGATTTTAGCAACATCACGACTCGCCTTACCCACCGCGCCATGTTGCGATTTATTCCATTGGTTGAATTAGCAGCATGGTGGCGCTTTCCCCTGGGTTTAGCGAGTCAGGGATGCAACCTGTGCCGCAATATGCGACTTATACCCAAGCGCTCCAAGAGGGAACAAAGGAAATACGAACCAGGCATCCAGCCGCCAACCACGCCACAAAAGTGTCAGCTCATGTATTATCTTGGACAATGGCGCTCCTTCAACATGTCAGCTTTGTCTCGCATTCTTCCCTCTTGGGAGTCGTCTTCTTTCTTTTTCTACTATATCGTTCAAGATGCATCGTGCATTCCGGAATGAGAAAGGCCCGCATTATGCGCCGAGAAGACCTCATTCTCCCGTTGGACTAACTCGAAGGCGCAGTCGTCGCACGGTGCTTCTTAT